GTATTATAAGTGTCTGTGACCAAGGTTTTGGCAACTATTGACACAACTTCACCAACTTTACACAAATATTTTGTGTTTACCATATGTCTTTTCTATTTTTCTGTTTTGCAAAGTATTATGAATTGAAATGATTCATTCTAATGCAATTAGATTCAATGTTATCTTCTAAAATCTCTTTAGAAAATCTGTTCACTTTAATATTGTTTCAAGCGCTCACTGACTACTTTTCTGAACAAGCTAGGATAGATTGCCATGATCTATATTAATTAAGTTACTTTAGAATCCTCAAATCAGCTTTAATATCACCTCCAGCCTTTCCTTTTGCAGTGAGAACTTCCTGAATTTACATAATTGCTCCATATAATCGCTATTTTCTAAGTATCTCCACATCAATGGTTTATAATGTAAGGTAACTGTACTTAAGTTCGGTATTCATTTTTTATCACAACATCTGATTTGCTTTTACTAGCTGCCAAGAACTGTTGCAGAGAAAACTTTTAATTTATTAACTTTCAGGATCTTCTGGTTTCTGTTTCATATTACATTTATATTGTTTTCATTTAAGTGAGCCTGCCTTTTCTGGATTTTTGATCCTATATGAATCATGTTGCATTTCTCTACATCAAATATATACTTTTCCAAAGTTGTTCCCATTTAAAAATAATCGTGTAAATTCGAATGATACTGCTCAGATTTCAGTAATGATTTTAACAGGACTGTTAATGTTTCATTACGTAAGATGCAGATTGCTTTCACTGGAGTCTGTCACAATCATTCTACTGGAGAAATGAATTACCTTCCTTAACCCGAATCCTCTCCTCCTTTAATATTTCATCTATGCTAAATTGATAATTCCTTGTCAGTGACTTATCAACCAGAGTAAAAAGGCTTTCCCCAATCAATGTCAAAACTCTTCATACCTTTAAATATATCTTTTGCCCTTGCCTCCAGTGAAAATGGTCTCAATATTTTGAGCCTTAATTCAGTAAGCGAAGTACCCTTTCCTTTGCAACAACTTGAATCTTCACTTTTTTTCCCCTCCTGACTTTAATGACTTTTCTTGGACCACCCACAGTTATGCAGCACTCGAATTACAGCTTAACCAATTTTTCATACTCACTGGGCAGTTTGGCTTATCCTTGCCTGAGTTTGAATTCCTGCCATCTTCTACTAGAGCTTTTGTAATTGGTAATTGCAGCAGTTACTCCGAAGTCTTAATGATTTTCATTGACAAGGTAGGATGGAATATTTTTATCCCAACAACATTTTTTCAATCTAAACATTTCTTTTACCTTGTTTTTCCGTTTTCCCAGTAACATTCTGTTTTCCTCCATTGTACTTAGTTCCAACACTAAGGAATTGTCCATACAAATGCCAGCGTGATGATTCTATTTCAGACTGATATAATTTTTCATGAATTTGGTCCAGATTCTTAACATAGGATTTTAACTCATTGAGAGGATAAAAGATAGAACAATAAAATTCACTCCTTCAATCTACTAGAATGCAGCCCATGGGGCAGAAGAGTTTGAGTAGTATGAGAATAGGCTAAAACTCTGGGCCTCATTTTATGGTAGCTTTAGGGAAAAAAATTGAACTTGCAAAAAATAGTGCTGCAGGAAAGTTAAGAAAATACCCACCAATTTGCAATTCAGTGTTGCTAACCAATTGTGCATATGGTTTTGGGACCAGGTCATGGCAGGTTTTACAAAGTCAGATAATAAAGAAGGAAGGATTCAAATTTATATGGCATCTTTCAGGTCCACTATGCCTCAAGGACTTCATAGCCAATGATGTGCTTCTGAGTGTAGACAAAAGAATAAACACACTGATGTTGGTTACCAGGTAAATGGAAACAATTCAGCCATATTTTGAATCAGTATGGGTGAATATAACTGGATTCTCAAGCTAAATGTAAAAGACTGGATTTTTTTTTTAAGTGTGATATGAAATCTAGCTTAAAGACAACACCTGTGTGTATTTGCCAAAATTGTATTGTAATACTAGCATGGACACGTAGTTTGTTTAATTCTATTTTGTAATCACAATTAACAATGAGGACAATTGCCATTTTATCTCCCAAAAGGTTTATGCTACTTAACAGAAGAAGGTAACACTAGAAATACAACAGTCTGTTAGCACTTATGGATAGAAAAATACTTGAATACAATCTGTTGTAACATTATGGAAGAATTGAGGGTGGAGATGAGAGTTGTGGCATTAGTACTAGGTGCAATGACTTTCCCAGAATTTCGTGGGAGGAAGTTCTTT